ATTTAAAGCTATGTTTTGATGATTCAGCCTAATAATATATAAGAATAAATCGGGATTGTTTTTAACTGAAAGTCTACATTTTTCTTTCCTTTTAATCARCACATGTTAATTGTACAAAATAATGGGTTTCATTGTGACAATTTATATAGTAGTTTGGTCCTATCCATCCTCCTTGTTAAGCTACAGTCCCTTCCTCTAGTTGTCCTCATATTTTCATATCATCCTTTCCCTTACCTCCATTGAAGGTCTGTTTCCAAGTTAGTATACACAAGACACAGACATTTTTAGGAAATACTTTTTTGAAACTTTTGGTTGGTTTGTGGTGCTGGGGATTGAACCCAGGACCTCACACCTGTTAGGCAAGTGCTCTACCACTGAGCTACATCCCCAGTCCCTAAAAATTAATTTCAATTCAGTGAAGTAGATCTAAGTAGTGTGGTTAATGGTAAGTTTTTAAAMACATGAACAAAAGGAGTTAGAAAAGGAATTTGTAATACTAAGGTCTACCTATAAGCCGAYCAATACTCAAACTACCCAAATCTCAATGAAAGTGAGAAAGGGCGATTGAAGACATGAAAAATCCTCAGAGGTAGCGTCAGCAGGTGCTCCCCAAGCACTCTGGGCACGAAGGACAGTCGAGGGCCACAGGGACCTCCTGGGAGCAGCAGCTGAGAGCTCCTACTGGTGATTCCTCWGGGACAGAGAGGCACAGTGGTCCTGGTTGGTTGGGACCACAGAGACCCTTTATGTGAGAGACTGATCGTGAGCAGGACAGGACCTAACAACTCTGGCCACAAGCCCGAATCCAGCAGCACCATACAGTTCAAGAGAGTTCCTCATTTCTACACAGAACATTGCTAATAATTTTATTTAAATAAGATCAGTCGACAAACTTCTCAGAAAGTGTGTTTAGTGACTTTTTCAGCTGAACCCCTCTTGCATTTCCCTCGATGGCTCAGAGAAATCGGTAGAGGTCGGCCTCCCTGCTCTGCAGCTTCAGCAGCGCCCCCGGGTGGAACATGAGGTCCACGATGTAGATTTCGGGCAGCGGCAGGCCCCCGGTYAAGCCCTTCCGAGACTCGTTGACCAGCTTCACTTCGTTCCACGCGCGGCCGTACTCCCCTCGCACYAGACTGCAGCCGAGACCGATTTTATCAGCTAGAGCCTGGGGGAGGGAAAACAAGAGGCGGGGGTGGGGGGGGTGGGTGGAGAAAAGCCCTTAGTTGTAAAACCCACCGAAGGTCAGATCGACCTTGCAAAGGAAGGCTGAATTCAAAGGCTGAAAAATGTGGACGACCTGTGATAGGAGCCGATCGAATGTAAGAAGTTCCCTGGTTCCTCGGGATGCTGTGACCTCAGAGGGTCCTGGGGGAAGTGACATTTTTCAGGCAGTTGCTGTATTGAATCAGGCTAAGATGGATAAGGTGTTGGGGAAAAGCTATTGCGTGGCTCTTAGCCCCGGCCCATCTATCAATCTTTCCACACCCCCAGGCTGCTCTTTGGCTGTGATACAGCAGTGCGATCGAATGGGGGCATCAGGTTCGTGGGGACCTATTTCTAGCCAATTTATTCTGTGTGAGGTAGACAGGGACTGGCCTAAAGGGAAAGCAGAGTTGTGAGTGGTGGGCCCTTCTCAGGCCACTTGCTGCCACCTCACTAGAGGATACTTATGTTCCTTAGACATTACCTCCTCAAATTGCCCCGATTTTTCCTGATTTTGAGGTTATTTTTTTTTTTTTAAAGTGTCTTTAAAATAATCTGGAAACTTCTCAGACTGTTCACAGTGAATAAAAAAGCTGGGAATAACTATCTAATTTCCCCTCAGCCCTGAGGTATACTAGTCACAAGCCAACAACCCAGCATATCTAGGCTTCCATTTCTTCATCTGTGAAGGGAGAACAACAGTTGCTTCCTCATTTGGTTACAAAGAGAGTGGTTATAAAGATGAAGTGAATTAATATGCATTGAGGATTAAAAGTTAAGTATTCTATAAATGCTACAGAGATTCATAAGGCAAGACTTTCGTTGTTTTAACAATCTTTATATTCATATATTAATTTAACTAATTGTTTACTTACTACATAATGACTGTGCAAAGTAGTTTTGGGCAAGCCAAAATGATTAAGATATGGTTGTCATTTTCAGGACTTTATATTCCATCTAGCCTGATACAGCCTAGGAAACAGTCCATTGCAACACAAATAATATCTAAATGTATGGTCCTCATGGTCAAGTGGGGGGTAGAGACCACACACACACACACACACATACACACATACATGCATGTGTGTGTGTGTGCATATATATATATGTGTGTGTGTATGTGTGTGTGTGTGTGTGTGTGTGTGTCTGTGCACATATACACACATATATATAATTACAGGATGTTTTCCAAAATAGTACTTACTGATTCTTAACACCATGTCAAAGCACTTTAAATCCTCAAAAAAAAAAAAAAAAAGTCCTATGGAATAGATGTAGAGAACAAATCTGAAATCAGAAAGTATCTGATTACTGTATCAAGATTATATTGTATATTGTATATACTGTATCAAGGTTACTGTAAATGGTGGTCCAAAGTGAAAGCCAGGGCATCAGTCTCCAGAGTCTGCCTTTGTGACCTTGGGGAAAAATCTGAGTGAGCCAGCCAACATGCAAATGAGCTTACATCTTCTTTGTGAAGTGTGACACAATTGTAAACCTTAGGGATTTAGGTACTATTTCAGGTTGTATGAAGAAAGACTTTACCCTTTGAAATTCATTAACAGAGAACAGAAGAAAGTCTGGGTCAGAACATAGAGAAACCCCAGTATTTAAGAGAGGGGTGGAGAAAAAGAGATCTCCAAAGCAGACTGAATGAAATGACCCGAGAGGACAAAAGCAACCAAAGAGAGCAGTGTCAGAGAAATAGAACAGACAGTCAAATTCTTTGACATATTAAGTAAGAGAGACATTGTAGAGGTCACCATGGTACTTATTGAGAGGGTTGGTGCAAAGGCCAGATGACAGTGGGTTGGGGACAAGAGGTGAGCCAAGGAGTGACAAGGAGTTGATATCACTCAGAATTTTTACCAGAATGAGAATTCCCTCTGGGTGGRAGCAGTGTGGTAGGCTTTTTGTTTGGTTGTTTTTTTGGGGTGTCTATTTATTTTTATTCACATAAGCATGTGGTTCAAATTCTAGTATTCCCTCTGACTGAAGCCAGGTAAATTATTTTTCCAACTCTCAGTTTTTTTGTCTTTAAAGCAAGGGTAGTAATTCTAATCTTAACATAATGGCCAATGGACAAAATACCTTGAAAAGCAAAGCTCGGTGGTAGAAGATTCCTTTTTTGATATATCCAATTGGTATAACGTTGGATTTAAGTTGAACTTTTAGTTCACTTATATGAAGTTCCCAGCTGAAATCAGGCAGTTTGTCTTTTGCAATCTTACCACCCATTTTTTCTGCCACATACCTGTGAAATAAAATCAATCAAGTTTAATATCTCATTTTGGGTACTTTGATTACTATTATGTGTATCATTATCCATATAAAAACTGTATTCCTTCTAGCTGGGCGCAGTGGCGCATGCTAGTAATACCAGCAGTTTGGGAGGCTAGGGCAGGAGGATTTTGAGTTCAAAGCCAGCCTCAGCAACAGTGAGGATCTAAGCAACTCAGTGAGACCTTGTCTCTTAATAAAATACAAAATAGAKCTGGGGATGTGGCCCAGTGGTTGAGTGCCCCTGAGTTCAATCTCTGATGTCAAAACAACCCCCCCCCCAAACTGAATTCCCTTTGATTTTTTGCTGTTTGATTTACTTTTAAAATGTAAAAATTTACTCACAATGAGGTTAACATCATGCTTACTGTATGTATGTAATTATTTATATATATATATATATACAAACTCTAGCAATTTAATGTATTGTGAAGAAGAAATTCATTTCTAATTTCCCAATATTTATAACAAGATACAAATCAACATTAYACCAAATATAAATGCAGTCTTAAAATTTATCTAATTCTGAAAAAAAGTATTCTGAATTATAATGTTTTAATCTCAAGTCCAAGGTGTTGCACTAATATAAGAGTTTTCTCTGAATGAACTTAAATTTAGAGACAAGACAAATAGAAAAATTTCCCATTAGATTCACTGACATTTTCAAGTCCTTTAATTTTACTTTTTTCATATATATATATATATATATATATATAGAGAGAGAGAGAGAGAGAGAGAGAGAGAGAGAGAAAGAGAGAGAGAAAAGCATGACATCACATAGCATTGAAGTTAGACAAAGAAGAGGAGGAATTAGAAAAAGAGCAGTGAGCAATGATGGGAGTGGATACTTTGTTTAAGGTTTTCTCCTAGTGCTCACTGATGAACTTAGCAATCACTCCTGCAAAGATCCTCTGACAATTAAAGCCACCACTCTCTGTAGAATTACAAGTTTAAAAGAATCTCCTCTTGCTGTACTATGAAGAACAATAGTTAAAAAAAAAAAAAAAGAAAGAAAGAAAAGTCAGGCTCAGTGGCTCACATCTGTAATCCCAACTACTCTGGAGGCTGAGGCAGGAGGATAGATAGTTCGAGGCCAGCATGATAAATGTCATGAAACCCTTTCTCAAAATAATTTTTTTAATAAAAGGACTGGGGGTATAGCTCAGTGGTGGCTTGCCTAGCATGTATGAGGCCCTGAGTTTCGTCCTTAGCATCACAAACAAAACAAAAAACAAACAAACAAAAACCCAAAGGGAACGTGTTGAGAAAGCTGGAAAACTGACCACCGGCTCTATCTAGCCAGGAGTGCTTTATTGAATGCCAAGGAACCAAAGGTCTGGGGATAGATCTCTGCATYTCTCTTCAGCTTGTTATGGACTCAGGTTTAAAAGGACAATGATTTGGGAGTGATGGAAAGAACCTCAGAGAGAAACAAAGCATGGAGAAATTGACAAATGTTTATAGGAGCTGAATCAAAGGTTTTGCTTAAGTCATCACTTCTCAAGGACATCAGGAAAAACTTCTGTCGCCAAAAAATGCTGTCTTTCAGTCCTGGCTGACAAGAAGTCAGTGATCTGGCAGCTGCGATCCTTGCAGTTGTCACATCCAGGTTTGATGACTGCTGCTCACTTCTACTTGGAGTAGACACAGGCTCCCGTGGAGACTGCAGCTGTTGCACAAGCCCGCAGCTCACCTCCTGGGCGGTGTCAATCACGAAGCCTACCCTCCACTTCTAGTGATTCCTGATCCCTTACAGCCACCAAGTCACATTCTCAGCCTTTCCTTAGTGGCATCTGATCCAACACTCTCATGAGGACCAGTATTCCACAGGCTCTAAGAACGCTCACAAGCAACTTTAGAGCAATGTGAAACACAAATAGAAAAATAGAGGATGATTATTTGTATGAAAAATCATTTTTAAGTTACAAATAATTCACCAGTGGGGCTTATTTAAATTATGAGGACTTTGTACACCTAARGAATGATTTATTTCTCAAACTTTTGATTCATTCATAACATCTCCAAGACCACACTGAAGGATGCTTTTAATGGTTTAGCTGGAGAAAATAACAAAAATGTTTCTCTAAGCAATTTCTAGCTCCTAGCTCTGATTCTTTAAAGAAAAGGGACCTAAAAGAGAAACTGAAAAATTTTGAAGTTCATTCTGCTTCTGCTTCAGAGTCAGAGAAAGGATACTATGAAGTTCAATTTTATTGTAATGGATTTGTCAAAAATGGCTTTAAAAAAAAAGCAAACCACTAAAATGAAAAACATTCAGAAATTAAAAATGTATATGTATATCTAGAGAACTTACTTGGCCAGAACCTCAATCTGTTCCTTAACATTGGTTATGGGCAGTATTGATTTGGTCACTTCATACACATAAATACAGAACTCAGGATCAGGAGGAGGGAACCACTCTTTATCAGAACTTTCTCCAGTCAGTTTTGGTGCTGCCAGAACTTCTTCCTCCTCTTTCAGTTTTTCCTCTTCTTTTTTCCCTCTGCCTTTCCTTTGAAAGTAAACAGCCATCAAAATCACATCTTTTGCTAAACAAATGAACAAAACTAACTATGCTGAGTTAATTTGAAGAGCATTATAGGAATAAAGTATTTTATTCCTCAACATCCGTACCATATGTAGTTTAGAAATTTTCATTTATAGTCTATATTATGCYGGAAAAACTATTTTTGAAAAGAACCTATATGATTGGTGTATATTATAAAAGTCATGCATTGGGTTTCTGCACAATTGCCTAGCAAGGTTTCTTGCTAGAATCTGGATAGCTAAATATAAGAAAAATTATCCAAAACATAGAAATAAAGCATAAAAGAAAATAAGAATGGCATATAATTTCCAAGTCATATGAGAGCAAAGACTCATTCAAGATTTGAGAGAACATACTTAGTAAAAATGGAATAGCTTAGCATCAAATAAACTATTTACAATTTTTTAAAAGTTCCAGACTTGAAGAATTGCTACTTAACATGTAGCTTTTGTTTAGTAAAGATTAATATAATTTCTGTGCAATGGAAAAGGTACTCCCCAAAATTAGTTTATTGCATTGTAGGATGTTAACCAGTTTTGCACAGAACTCAGTACTATCTTTTTGTAATGTTTCTTCATCAAATTGGATATAAATACCTCATAACTCAAGTATCTTTTGAACCAGTATTAACATCTTACTGGTTCCCTCATCAATTAATGAGTTGAACAACAAACAATGATATGTGGTCTCATTCCAGGTAACATGGAGTAAGCACATTCCACTCTGTCTTTCCCACTGAACATAGTCATACAACCTGGACAGTATGCATGTAACAGCTATTTGAGGACCCCAAAAGTAAATATCAACAGGAAGATCAAAAAAGACCAAAATGAATTACCACTAAATTGACAATGAGTTTATCCTTTTATTTTCTTCACAATTCCCCACGCTGAACTAAACCTACCCTAGTAAAAGAAGTGAGCATTAGCACAGACAGAAAGAAATCAAGGAGAAATGCTCTTGAGAAACAGGTAAGATAGTAGAGCTAAGTCTCTGTTTGGTTTTCTTCTTATTCTCCAGTTTTGTGCACCCCAGCCCCAAAGGAATGACATGACAGGGGAGGCACCAGCATCCCATAAGAGATAATACTGTTTCATATGCACTCATTCCTCTGTTTGATTGTAGACATCTGGGCAGTCATGCAAGAGGCAGCAGGGACAAGTAAATGAAGGTTTATGGCTGGAGGACCCAAAGGGAAGCTCAAAGAGACGAGGAAAGAGAGAGGGGGTGAGGGAGTGGGGAGAGAGAGAGAGAGAGAGAGAGAGAGAGAGAGAGAGAGAGAGAGAGAGAGATCATGGAAAGGAAGAAGTTGAAGAAAGTGACCTTCTAGAATTGTTTATGAATTCTTAGGCTCATGAGCTGTGCATGCACAGCTAATGCTAAACAGTACATATATTGACTTTGAGAACTGAAATACAGTATACACCCATCACCCAAGCTTCCAACTGAACACTGGTTGGTATGCAACCAAGACTGATACAAATGGCACTGCAAGGACTTTGAAAACTGGACTGACACTGGAATGACAAGCCACAGCAGTGGCTGGAATTGAAAGCTTGAAATCAAATGGGTTATTTAACTACTAAAAAATATACACGTGTGCATGCATGCACACATACATAGAATATTCTTAGAATATATATAAGACTCATGGGACTTATAATATTGTAACTAAAATTACYATGCATGAAGAACTAGAGAATCTCCATTCATGGCAAATGATGATAGATACCATTGCCTAGATGAAACAGATGTTTACCCTACAAAGACTTTAAAAGTGGAAAGATCAAACAATCTTGAATAGTGAGTTATAAAGTTGCAGAAATAGAAGATCTAAAAATAGAATTTTGGATTTGAAAACTATGTAACCAAAAAACAAACAGCAACAGCAACTAACAGCAACAGCACCACCACTAACAAAATACGCAACTCCCAGAATGGGTTTAMCAGCAGAATGGAGACATATAAATTTGAAGCTAGAACAATAAAAACTATCCAATCTAAATAACACAGAAAGAAAAGACTGAAAAATCAATCGAGAGACTCTCAGGGACCTGTGGTATTAAAGAAAAAAACAGACAAAGACTGGTGTCAACCAAGTCCCAGAAGAAGGAAAAAAAAAARGGTGCAGAAAGGAAAAAAAAATTGAATAGGCCCTAAAATTATTTTTTTAATTTAGTTAAAGATGTCAATCTACATAGTCAAGAATTTCAGTGAATACCTCATTAGAATGAGGTAACCCAAAGAAATCCATTCCTTAACACATCAAAATCAAACTTAAAAATTAAGGACAAAGCAGATGATGTGACTATGTAGGAAATCCCAAGAAATGTAAGAAAAAACTTTTAGAACTAACAGTTAAGTTCATCAAAGTCTCAGTATGGAAGATTAATGCATAGAAATCAATTGTTGCTAGATAGAAACAACRCATGGAAATCAAAAGTTTGAATTCCTGCCTGATCTGTGTGCTCGATAATAAAAAATGCCAATGAAAACAATCAAAGAAGACATGAATGCATGACATTCTGTGTTTGTGGATTTGAAGATACAACATGTTAATAATGTCAGTTCTCCACACACAAACAAAAAGTGATCTCTAGTTGTTTTCCTTTTCTCTTGGCAGTACTGGGGACTGAATATAGGGCCTCACACTCGATAGGCAGGTTCTCTACTACTGATGTGCATCCCCAGCTATTTTTATTTTGAGTTGCTGGGATCCTCCTGTCTCAGCCTCCTGAGAAGCTTGGGATTATAGGTTTGCACCACCACCTCCAGCTGATATCTAATTTTAATGAAATACCTGTCAAAATCCCAGCAAAGGGATTTTCTAGATAGAAAATCTTATTCTAAAACTTATATGGAAAATCACAGACTGTAGAGTAGCTAAATCAACCATGATGAAGAAAAATAAAACAAGAAGACCCACTATGATAAGGCTTACTATATAGTCACAGTGATTCATACAGAGTGATACTAGTGGGGGGACAGACATATAAATTGTTGGAACAGAGAATCTTGAAACGGAGTCACACAAACATGCCCAACTGATTTCTGACAAAAGTGCAAAAGCAATTCAATGGAAGCTTTTAAAAAAGTGGTGCTGGAGCAATTAGACAAGAGGGATCCATGTGGTGATACACCTGTTCATTATTTTAACTCTGGTGGTAGACATGTAAACCTACATATGTGATAAAATTGTATAKAATGGAATAGAGCCATTAGATGTATCACTGTCAATATCCTAGTTATCTATTGTGGTAAAGTTTAAAAATTTTATAATTGAGGTACATGGGATCTCTTCATATTTTTTTGTATGGCAACATGAAAATTTATAATTATCTCATTAGAATTTCAATTAAAAATATCCTTTTGGTATATTTGTGTATTTCTGGACTCTATTCTGTTCATTCATTTCTCTGTCCTTTCACCGACACCACACAGTCTTGGCTACTGTAGTTTTCTGTGGGGGTGGATGGGCACTGGGGATTGAACTCAGGGGCACTTGGCCACTGAGCCACATTGCTAACCCTATTTTGTATTTTATTTAGAAACAGGGTCTCACTGAGTGGCTTTGAACTCATGATCCTCTTGCCTCAGCCACCCAAGCTGCTGGGATTAAGGTGTGTGCCACCATGCCAGGTGGTTCCTATAGTTTTACAGAAAGTCTTAATATTAGGTGGAGTGATTCAACTTTATTCTTCTTTTTAAAAATCCTTTTGGCTATTATAGATTATTTAATTTACCATAAAACTTTTAAAATCAGCTTGTCTACATCTATGAAACATCCTACTGAGATTTTGATGGAATTGTATGGAATCAATAGATCATTAGGAGGTCATTTTTAATATGCTGCACTTTCTAATATTTGAAAGTATGTCTCTTCACTTAWTTTTAAAAATTTCTTTCATAAACATTTTGTATTTTCAATGACAAATATTTTAGATGTTTTGCTTCATTTTTAACTTCACTTTTCATTTCTTAGAGCTATTGAAAATATTTAAAAAGGTTTTTGTTTTATTTGTTCATTACTAGTATATAGAAATATGATTGATTTTTGTCTTTGGTCTTACAGCCTAATACATTGTTAAACTCACCTATTACTTTTAGGAGTTTYTAAAAACTGTTTTAAAAGTAGATTACTTAAGGATTTTCTACTTAGTCAAATTATGTTATGTTGTCTGCAAATAAATTATTTCCTTCCCCACACTTTCCAATGCATTTAACTTTAAAAAAATGCCCATGTCACTACTTAGGACTTCCAATATAATGTTGAAAAGCAAGGACARATGATATCCTGTCTTGAACTGAGCATTCTTTGATATAATAGGAAGTTTCTTCCTATTCCTTTCTTTCAACTTAAAAAAAATCACTTAATAGATGCATCAATTAATATGATCAAGTGGTTTTTCTTCTTTATACAGCTAATTGATATTTCAAATATGAACCAGCCTTACATTTMTTTTGAATACTGCTGGATTTGATTTTCTAATGTTTCATAAAGGATTTTTGCATCTGTRTTCATGATGGATTTTGATTTGTAATTTTCATGTAATGCCCTTGGTCCTGTATTGACACTGGGTTATGCTGGTCTCATAACATGAGTGGATAAATGTTCTTTCTTTTTTTCTTAACATGTTTGTATATAATTGATGTTAATTCTTTAAATGTTTGGTAAACATTTGGTGAAAATTGAGAGTTGAATTTGTTTTGTGGAAATTTCTAATGAATTCAGCTTACTAGTTAGAGGACTATGCAGGTTATTTATTTCATCTTTCCTGAGTTTTGGTAGTTTGTAGTTTTTGACAAGAGGGATAAACCTGTTCATTATTTTAACTGTGATGGTAGACTTATATCTAAGTTTATAAACTAATGTGCATTATTTTRTTGTCCTTTAATGAGTAGTGACAACTCCTTCTTTCCTTCCTGATTTTGAGATTTATGTCTTCTTTTTTTTTTTCTTGTTA